TAGGTAAACCAGACCGAGCGCACAGCGCGCGTAGACTTCGCGCATGGTCGCAAAACCATCGCTACGAATATCACCATGATCAGGATTGCTATGGCTCCCCAAAAGCACGCCACCGTTGCAAACATCCACCTTACATCCGTGATCCTGTACCTATTTAGGCTCGAGCCACGACTCATCAAAGCATGCAAAATGTTTGTCGGAACCTTGGACGAAGACGAAATGATTGGCGGGCCCGTGCCTCCTCGGGAATCGAGCCCAGAATCCGATGTCATTCTGGGATCGCAGATCGCGGACGTCGCGTTGTAGACTGTTTCCCATCGTACCCCTTGGGCTACCCATTTTCTTTCGTACCCCTTGAATTCCTTTTTCCATTCGGACCCTCTTGCATTCCGATTTCACGACGCATCCCCTTGAATTCTCAGTTCGTTTCGTATCCCATTGAATCCCACCAGTTCTCTGGGCATCGGTGGTTTAGGGCGTTTCCTCTTCCACCCCTCCTTCTTCCCCTTCAGGGAGGAGTTTATCAGTGTTCCCTACTAATAAATACCCCCTCCCCCAGGCGACTGGTAGCCAACCAGGAACCATGAGGGCACCCCCCCACCATCCCTTGTAAGAAAACATACAAAACCCTCTGCCTCCAAATTCGGAGCATGCGCAGCCAACCCGACGCGGCCTCCCCCCATCATCCCTGTCAGAAAAACCATACAGAGTACACTTGGCGGCGGCGGCGGCTGCGGCGGTGGCGGCGGCGGCGGCGGGGGCGGCGGCGGCGGCGGCGGCGGCGGCGGCGCGGCGGCGGCGGCGGGCTGCGGCGGCGGTGCGGCGGCAGCGGCTGCGGCGGCAGCGGCTGCGGCGGCGGCGGCGGCGGCGGATTTGGCAGCGCGGCGGCGGCGCGGCGGGCGGCGGGCGCGGCGGCGGAGGCGGCGGCGGCGGATTGGCCCCCAGTAGCTGCCCATCCAAAGACGACTGCTGAATATGCTGAGCCTCGGCCCAGACTCGGGTGCTACGTTTGTGTTGGGAGGGCGGGTGGGGGTGAGCGAGACAGCTTGCCGGGGAGGGAGTCTTGACCCCTCCCCCTACCCCCTCCCCTGGACCTGGATAAGGGGTTCCACGAGGTGTCGGAGCGTCCAAAACGGCTTCGGCGAGGAAGCCACATTCATTGGTTTTATTAGGGTGTTGGCCCCACGTTGGCCTCCTGAAGGGGGGGGGGGGGCTAGTTAGTGCCCCCCCCCCTCCTGTGATCGATCTCAACCAAGATGGCCCAAAGATGGCCCCCAAGGCTCCCAAGGGTGCCCCAAGAGGGCCCCAAGAGGTGGCCAGGAAGCCCCAAGAGGCCCCCAGGATGCCCCTAAGAGGCTCCGAAGAGACCCCCAAGAGGCCCCAACGACCCCCCAGAGGCACCCAAGATGCTCCAAGAGGCTTCGGCGAGAATGCAACATCATTGATTTCACTCAGGTTTTAGCCACATGTTGGCCTCTTGGGGGGTACTGATTAAGATGACTCCAAGAGCGCTTGGGAGGGCCCAAAATGACTTCCAAAATGGATCAAGATGCTCCAAGATGCCCCAAGACCGCTCCAAGACGGCTCCAAGTGGCCAAAGAGCTCCCCCAGGAGGCCCCGAAGAGGCCAAAACCTCAGGAACATCGATATGTGTGGCTTTCTCGCCTTGTCGCTTCCGATGGCCATCCGAGGCCTCAAGATGGCTCCAAGACGGCCCAAGGGGGCTCCAAGAGAGGCTCAAGAGATCCCCAGAACGGCCCCAAGAGCGCCCCAAGAGCGCCCCGAAAGGCGATTGCTTGGGCTCCCGAGGGGCAACGCTAACTAATGCTCGCTGCTTGTTTGATCGATGTCCTCCAAGCTGGCCCCAAGAGCGCCCCCAAGGCTCCCACGACCGCTTCAAGAGGGCTCCAAAAAGGCGCCCAGGAGGCCCCAACAGGCGCCCAAGAGGCCTCCAAGCTGCTCCCAAGAGACGCTCTCCGAGACACCCAAGACGCTCCAAGAGGCCTCCACTGGGGGACCCTTCCTCTGTGTTGTGCCCACTTCCCTGATCGAGGCAATTCCTCTGGGCATCGCTTATGGATGGACTGGTGGGGTTGCTTTTTTTGTCAGCGGCCGCGGGCGAGCGCGCCAGCGGCGAGTCAGGTCCAAGCGGGCTACGCAGAGACTAATTAGGCAGAGGCGACGCGCAAGGCAACAGCTACGCGGCAAGCCGAGGACTCACGCAGCGGCCCAGCAGCAGGCGGAGGGTTGGAGGGACAGAGACTGAGTGGAACTGCCAGCGTGCAAAGATGCAAGTCAGTCGAAGGCGCCGGAAGCCTGGAAATGAACGACGAGCAGGGACAACCCGAGAGAGAATGCATGAGACCGAACCTCAAGCAGCTGCGTGGGCACCAGGGTGGCCGCAGCCAACGGACTGGTGGGGTTACGCGAAGCGTCTAGAATTTCTATTTCCCTTCGTACCCCGTTGAATTTTCCTTTCCCTTCCCCCTTGAACTCAAATTTTCCTTTTGTGCCCATTTGACTTTCCATTTTGCTTCGTGCTCCCTTGAATTCTCATACTCCATCGTGCCCCTTGAGTTCCCATTTCCCTCGTACACCCTTGTATTCCCATTTCCCTTCGTGTCCCCTTGAATTCCGATTTCCCGCTGTACCCCCTTGAATTCCAAGTTTCTTTTCGTATTCCCTTCCAAATGCCTCAGGAGTTGGCGGGGGCGGAAAAAGGGGCGGAAACATGTGTTGTGGGATTTAGCTGGGCGGATCGGCGCGCAGAACATGCCTGCAGAGTCTAGGATAAATCGGCGCGCAGAACATGCCCGGAGGAATTGTCAAGAACATCGGTGCGCAGAAGCTACCCCGAATGCTTATCAAGGCAGTGTTGGTTTCGAATATGTTCCCATATTGGCAGCTACCGTTTTGGAGGCCTGGCGGAAACGAAGAAGGTGGGGAAGCATGCTGTAATATTAGACAAGTGTGGGCAGCAGAGGGTACGACCATCACCTACCGTTCGTTCCTTTGTCAGGACACGTCAGGCCATACATCACATACAAGATGTGTTTACACGCTTGGGGCTTCTTGGGTTCATTTTCAGAAGGCTCCGAGGCCATCTGGGGCCCTCAGAGAGCCCCGCCAAGGAGGGGCCCTCTTGGTGCTGTCTTGGATTCTTGGTGTTGTCCTGGATTCTTGGGGGGGGCCCTTTTTTCTGATATGTTGCTGCCGTCTTGGATTCTTGGGCCCACCGGAAGCATCTGGGAGGGGCCCTCTTGGTGTTGTCTTAGATTCTCTCAGGGCCCAAAGAAGGCCGAATACTCCCGAATTGAGCCCAAGCCTGGCGATGTACGAAGTCGGCGTTTCGAACTCCACAAGGGCCGCTGGGGGATGCCAGCCTATCCTCTGGAAAGCGCTTGGCAGGGCCACCGTTGGGTACGAATGGCGGAATTCCGTAACCTCGAATGTCGCCCCAGGGACGCCAGCACGGCCCAAAGAAGTTTTCGGCGGCCGCGGGCGACATTTCCCGACAGAATTTCGGCCACGCTCGGAAGGCAAAGTTTGGGCGTGCTGACCCATGCGCTATCATTCGATACTGGCCCATGCTTCCATACTGTCATCTATCTTTGGGACGGGGCCTGGTGCGTCACGGACTCGGTGCGGCAGGGGGCATGTGCCCAAGGGTTGGTTCGGTTTGTGCGGAGCGCCGCTTGTTGGCACGAGAGGCGGTCACGACGGGGGAACAATGAGCAGGGGGAGGGTGACTGTCGTCCCACATAGCGCATGTAGCACTGGATAGGACTGTTTACACATACAAACCAACGCAATGCACATTAACCAACAATTGAAGACCTCGCACAACAACACAACAACATGGCACACAGACAGCGCGACATATTCTACCCCAATTGTACCCCAATCTTGTTCATTGTTACTCCACTTATACCCCAACTTTGGATCCCGAAATGCCGCGCCAACCCCCCGGACCTGTGCGCCAGCGTTTTCGTGCGAGTTCGCACGCGCGTCAGCGGTCGCGTCAAAGCACATTTTCCTTAATTTTAACCCAAGTTTCACCCCATTGTTACCCCAGCTGTATCCCAACATTGACTTGTGCACGCGCACATACTTCGATACCAGGGCCCTATTTCTGAGGCACAGAGCTTCGATTCGACATCCGTGCTGGCGCGAACCGCTGTCTCATGGAGACACGCCACGCCTCTAATACGTAGCACCCCGCAATTGCGGATAATAGTGAGGGGGCGGGCGCGGGCGACGCGGGCGTCGTCGAGCCGACGGACCTCGTGGCCCCCACCTTCCCTATCGATGGCGCTCTCCTCCTGCTCCTCCTCCTCCTCCTCCTCTTCCTCGTCCTCGTCCTCGTCGTCATCGTCATCGTCATCGTCATCCTCCTTCTCCACCTCGTCCTCCTCCTCTTCTTCCTCGTCCTCCCTCTCCCCCCCTCGTCCTTCCATCATCGTCCTCCCATTGTCGTCCACCCCCTCATCGGCCTCCATCATCGTCCTCCCATTGTCGTCCATCATCATCATCATCCTCCCCCTCCTCCCCCTCCTCGTCCTCCTCCTCCCCCTCCTCCCCCTCCTCGTCCTCCTGCTCCTCCTCCTTCTTTCTCCACATTCTCCTTACATCCTCTCTTCTTCC